CAGGCGACCACTGACGATCACAGAGGCGTTGATTTAAATGCCTAGACACCGTCGTTCTGTGGTTTCGGCGGTTGAGTTGGGTAAGTCTCAAACGCCTGTGTGCAGTAAGTTATGTAGGCTAACAAAGCGTTGTTTTTTCCAAATTGGTTACTTATCATCGTCTTACACCACATTATAAAATACATATATATATATATATATATATATATATATATATATATATATATATATATATATATATATATATATATATATAAAATTATTATTACCAAATGCCATTAAAAACGCAACACTTCGTTCGCATTGTCTGAACACGGTTGCATCCAACGAATATAGATTAAAAGAAGTGGGTTTTTTAAAAGTTTATTCAATTTCCAACAAATGTGAACCATTTGGATCGCACACATCAACTGATTTCGATACATTGTCCTCCTTCTCTCGGCGTACCCCCTTAAGGCAAATTTGAAGAGAAACACAAATCGAAGCTCAATAATGATCTCTTACCCTTAGTAAGTTGTATGGCCATCATTAACATTTAAACATACCTAAACACTTCTTCACCTGGATTTGATAACATTTGCAATGTTTTGTTGAGAAATTTTGCCCCACTCTCACGGCAGCGCGATCTCCCAATAGCTGCAGATTCGCAAATCGGCACCCGCTTTGCGGTTCAGTTCATCCCATACACGCGCTGTTGGAGACATGTCGGGTATGTACACTGGCCAGTCCTTGACATTCGTGTTATGATCTTCCAGAAACTGTGTTGTTTGCAAAATGGGCAGTGTAGGGAAAGGAGTGTCGTGTTGGATGACTGGGAGATTCTGATTTTTTCTTTGTGCTGTTTGGCAATGTGAAGACAGCTCTGTTGTTGCGACTTTGTTAGTTGCAGTCCTATATAAGGCATTCTTGATCTAAGTCCCGTACTTACTGCTCCACGCCTCACACTGATGAAAGAAACATTTTCACGCGCACCCCATGCATTCCTTGAGCTTCTACTTTTGAGAAACAAAACGATTTCGCAAATGCCACAGCAAAATCTGCCTCTCTTGAACACGGCTGGTAACTCGAGACTGTCCTATTCTTTGCCCATCCCGGGCATTTCATGTGTGCTAAAATCTGTGTATAAGTCGAGAACAATACAAGCACTGCATTTTAGCCGTATTGCTGCTTCTCAGGCAGATTTTCCGCCATGAACAAGGCGGGGGCGAAAGTTGCTATCAGCTTCGCTAAATTGTGGAGTCTTGTCATGAAAGAATTTATTTTTTTTAATGATCGAAAAGAAAAGGCTAAGACTTTTGTTTGGAATGAGCTACGGGTCACCTTCCAGGTAAATAATTTTGTGTTTGTTATAATATAGCAATTAATGAAAACATTTTACTAAAGCATAGTTTATTGTCTTGTGATGAAAAGTACTCATGGAAATAGCAAAAATTGTGCATGGGTGTGTGGACTAACTAACAACTACTCACTTGTGTCTCTGAAAATCGTGACGATCAGTTTATTTGGCTTATTAATAACATGAAAACGTTGCGTTTGTAATGGCGTTCAGTATACATATAATTTATATCTGAATTTCAGATTCATAGGTACGAGACAGGGGGGGGGGGGGGGGGGGGCGCTCTCATGGTCGAGAGGTTACGGTGTTCGCCTCTCATTCAATGGGTCTCGGGTTCGAACCCTGACTGCGGGGCAAATTTTCTTTCACCTCACTTCCTACTTTCTAACAATGTTCTGTTGTCTGCTTTCGCCTCCACTTTCTGCCCCTCCCCCATACTCCCCTTTGCCACTTCCTCTGGGAGCCAGACTCTTTCTGCAGTCTTTCTACTGCTACTCCTTGGTTCCTTCTTACTGTTGCCTTCCAGCCACAGCCCCGATCTTATGGTAGGTACTAAAACCTAGCCTTCTCGGACAAGGACGAAAAATCTCGGAGGTCCCGTGTGCAAGTTGCGCATGTTTAAGATCTTTTGATGGTCCTGAAAACATAAGAGTAGACTTTGGCCCCCACTTGGGTAAAATTCAAAATTCCTACCAAACTGAAAATGTTTAATGTGTCATGCACGCGCATATGACCTCATGCAGTTGCGAGCACCGTAAAAGACGTATACCTCACCCCCAACAAAGACAAAAAATAAACCAGCCCCTCCCCCCTTCCCAAAGAATAACCAAAACAAAAAACGGACATAGGCTTAATAGGTATTGAGCTAAAACAAAAACCGCAAAACGATTAAAATTGCCGAATGAGCGGTACACAAAAAATGCTGTTCTCTTACATTCCATTATTTGACTAATAGTAAATTCTAATTTCAAGAAAATGCCTTTCCTTTTTTTTTAACCAACAGAATCACATTTGAAGGAGTTAGCTAAAACAGGATAGACTTTGTCCATTTCACTGAAAACAAGCAGGGTGCATCCCTTAACTTACAACAATACCCGTAGACTGTCCATAAGAAACCAATCAAGTGTAAAACCAACCTCGCCATAATTACACACTGTATTTTTTAAATAAAAGCAAATCAAGTCAGGAAAAAGCCAAGTCCATTGTATATATTTTATATATACATGTATATATATATATAATATATAAAAGAAAAATAGGCTAAGCCTTGTCTGGGTTTATGTGACTTAGCCTGTTGTATTCCCTTATCGAGTTATCGACCCCCTCCTCTGGTAACAAGTTACAACTGAATGGAAACATTACTTTTTGAGGTATGAACAGTTTTGTATCTGATTATTATGACTACCAAACCAATAGCATTGGCCCGTCGTAATGGAAACTTAAGGCCATACATCAAGCTCATATTGGGAGTTCTGTTGGATTCACCAGCCCAAACGTAGAAAAATAATTCACATTCTACACGACTTGAACTAAGCAGTATGGTAAAAGTTTCGTATTTCATACAGTTCTTGGATTTCGAGGAAGCATTTCAGAAACTGAGAGAAAACAGAGAACCCATTTTGTGGTCAGCCTTACGCACGTTAATTCACATCTTAACCAACTTAGCTGATGAGACTTCTGAACACATACACTAAAAGAAGGGAATTTACTGGGAAGAGCAAATTGAAGGGATATAACTGGGAAATAATCGTTACACCTGCTTGATTCTCTCTCTTGTTTGGGTCCTGCATCATTTGAGTTTATTGGTCTATATTTTCATATTTATCTTCAATGTAAATTTATATGTTCCTTCGTTTTCTCTTTTTTCTGTAAGTGCACATTTAGAGTCGGACCCACAAGAGAAAATTAATATTCGGTAATCATTATGCATTCCCTAAAACACTCGGCTACGTGTAAAAGCTCACACATACAATGATCGTCGTTTTGTTAGAACAAGACCATTTTATAATCATCTCCTCGTATTTTGGTTCTCCTAAATTCAGTGCCAGGATAGCTGAATCTTGCAGAAGCAAAGATGCACACAGCGGGACTGCAAGGTATACAAAATACCGGGGCCCCGCAAAAAAATTAATACAGGCTCATAAAAAATAAAATAAAATAAAATAAATAACTTGGCTATCGTTTGACCAAAGTGAAGTAAAGAATAAAGTAAGTGTATGGATCTGACGCACCCATCAATACCATTAGGTCATGTAAGTGGCACGTTCTCCGAATTAATTGTTCATTTCCGATAGGAATCTTCAGACCATTTTCAGTTAAACTTGAACCAAATAGCATTCATAATTGAAATTTGTTGGCCTCCAGATTCTTGGGCATATCTATACCTTTCTGGAAATCATGCCAAGACCACCCTTGATGTTGAGGATATGACTCCATAGTGTTGGAACCAAGCTTCCTCAGCAGCATAATCCCCCACCATATCTCAAATCGTCTCCTTGACTTCATCCGCATTGTGGTATCCTTCTAATGGACGGTTGTGGTTTCACCGTCCTCGTCCTAAAACTAGAACGGGCCGATCCCGCCCCTGTGGCTGAATGCTTTTAAGAGGTATAGTTTTGAGTTTTGATCTACTCACTTTTGATTATCTTTTTAATTGACATTTATCAAATATGATTATTGATTGTCTTCCTTTTCAGAAATTACACGTGCATTTGGCTGAGTTACGTTCGGTGGTGATAGATGGCCACGTTAATCATTTGTGGGGTAGCATGGTGAAATCAGGCGCTCGTCAAAATACAGAAGTTTGAGAAACAGGCATTTTACCCGCCAGTGTGGCAATTTTATCGGATTTTTGCTTTTTTGGCTTAACACCATTGCTGTACAATTAAAAGCACACTTCTGTGTGGATTTTACTGAAAAACGTTGATTAAAGGAACAAAAAGGTAAGTTTCCGCAGACTATAAAGCTATATATTATTATATACCTCCTTGCTCACCTCACACTTCATAAAAGGAGGTGGCCCCGTCGAGAGTTTTACCCTCGCGGCGCTGATGGGCAGAGCAGAGAAACTTTTACTGACTCTGTGCACCCTTCCCCCCCCCCCCCCCCCCCCCCCCAACATGTCGCAGCGACAACAACTACAACTATAACAGCAGCAACAGCAACAACAGTAACAGCAATAACAGCAGAAGCAACAATAATAACAATAACAACAACAACAGCAACAGCGGTGGCATCTCTTCGGGGAGGATTCAGGGAGGTTGGACTGCCTCACCCGCTACCCAAGGGAGGCGGTGGCCCTGGCGAAGAGCACACTCTTCGGGGCTCCGAACATTTCGAACGGATAGGCTACCACACGCACACACACACACACAGCAACAACAACAACTAGGCCTACAGCAACAACAGTAACAGCAGCAGGGGCAGCGGCTGTGGTACGGCAGGTACATAACCCTCTTGTCTCAAGAGGAGTAACAATAGAATTTTTGATGAGAAATCATGTTACGGTGATAAACTTGGAGTAATTTTTTTAACACTCTGAAGACAAGACGTGTGAATAACGGAGATGCGCTCGAACACCGTCAGTTTGCTGCTACGGAGACATATGAAGTAGTTTGTACCCCGAGTCGCAAAAGACTTACACTGAAATCCTAACAATCCGAGACAACATGGCTGACTCGGGCACGACTGCTAGTGCCAACACTAGCAGTACAAGTGGTTCTACCACCAGTAGTGCCACAAAGGAAATTACCCAGTATCTGAATGTAGGGAATGCTAAACTAGTGGCATTGACAATGGTGATTGCTTTTGTTCTTTACCATGGAAGTCTTCATTTTAGATACGGTGAGTTTTGGACTGGACCCCTACCACTATCTATCGTCCCTTCACACTTCACTAGATTACGCATTTAATCAAGTCTTGTCTAGATCTAGATCTAGATATCTACAGTTTATTTCTTCTGCTAGAGTCTAGATCTAGATCTAGACTCTATAGATCGAGATCTAGTTCTAGATCTCGAGATTCAGAAATCTAAAATCTTCTAGATATTCTAGATCTAGAGTACATCCTGTGGTGCGATATACAGTAAGCGATCTTTTGTGGATATCTCTGGAAGTTACAGGTCGATCTTCATGATTTTTTCACCAGAAGTTAGAAAAACTTCCTCTCTATACGGTGTAGCGCATTACTGTAACAGCAGTTTAAAAATTCTATATGTTGTGGTGGTGTTTGTTTGGTAACGTGTGTCTGGTTTGGTGCGCAAGGTTTCTGGTTTGGTGCAACATATCGTCTTGTTTGGTGCGCAATAGTACCATGTTTACAGCTCTAGATCTAGATCTAGCTCTTTTCTGACACTTTTCATCTTTCTCTATCCTTGCTTTGTCTTCTTTTCCTTGCAAGAAGTTCCTGTACTGACCATAATGGAAGGCCAAGGTCAATTAGGCGTGTTCTTTTTGGGAGCTGTGCGCCCCCTGACAGGAGATTTCCTTACACCTTGTGTATGTGTTTTGATAATGGATAAAAAGAAAGGTGCTGTGGACACAAGAAGGGGAAAGAAGAAAACAAGAATAAGACTATACCTAGACTAGTATTTTAGAAGGAAAAGGACAAAAAAGAAGAAGAAAAAGACGTGAAAAGAAGAAATTGAAAAAGAAAGGTGCTGTGGACACAAGGAAGTGAAAGAAGAAAACAAGAATTAGACTATACCTAGACTAGTATTCTTTAAGGAAAAGGGCAAAAAAGAAGAAGAAAAAGACATGAAAAGAAGAAATTGAACATTTTGGAGATTATATTTCCATATTAATTAATTTTGACATGAATACATTAACTTATCATCTTCCAATGGCAATATAATGCATCCAAATGGAAGGAAAACAGTCTGTTTCAGTGCACAATGCAGGTCATAGAGAAATAACTTAATAAGTAAAACAAACAAAGGGCCTAGAAGCCACACTATCAATGCCAAATAGCAAAAAAGCCGATATTGCGCACGAATCGGACTGCCCAAATTTGGTCCGCTTCAGTGCGCAACCCTATCTAACACGTTCCTGGGCATTAAGAAGCAGCCTGCGATAGTATTTATCGATTCTAGTATACATTCTACGATACATTAGAGCTAGATTAGCTAGATGTGCTAAATAATCGACTACTCAAGCGCTTAGTAAATTGATCGATACCGGTTACGAAAACCATTAATATGAAGGGGTAAAACTTTCCGACACCGTAGAATCACGTGTGTTGACAGGAACCTCCAAAACGAAAGTGAAATAAGCTGCATTCTGCGCATGCTCACAGAAAATGACCTCGTTTTCGCTGTTCTTATCCAAAACAAAGCAGGAGACCGGGGGTTGCGCACCAAAACAGTAGCGCGGTGATGCGGGCCTACTCTAGCAGGGCTCCCCTTTTCAGGACAACTTTTTCTTTTAAGAGTAAGAGGTTTATTCACCCTTTGGCTTTGGGTGTTCTATCTCAAACAAGGGGTATTTAAACCCTTGTTTTAGAAACTTAAAGGGTAAAAATCAATTATCTCCTAATTTTATAGTAAGAATGTTTGTATGTAAACATTTTACTCACACGCACATTTACAGACACACACAGAGTGACCTCGACTGAGCCGTTGCCAAAATGTGGGGAAAAACACACATCTCACGACTCACATTAGTCATTAGTGTGCATGATAAAATGTGATGCATTAGTATTTATTCCTCCAAAACTTTTACATATGTTAAATATAGGATGTAGAACCTGCATTAGCAGTTTCAGACCCAGTGTCAGCTTTACAATCTTGAGTTTGTAAATTTTTTGCCAAAAATGTTCGTTTTTTTGGTGACTCCTGGACTGTCATTTTGAGCACACCAATGCAAACTTCCAAAAATGTCCAAAATTTAATATTTTTGGGTGTTTTTTTTTAACCTGTGCTTTGATTCTATGCTATTTGTGATCAAGAAAGGTCCACTTGCTCAAGAAATTGGTTTATTTGTTTGCAAATAAACGAATAATTCGGATCACTTGTGCGTCAGTGGTGTCGTCACGGACTAGGTGTTTCAGAAAACACCATTATTTTTCAGTAGAATCACCACAGCTGGTTAAATCTTTTTGCTTTTCGTCGCTTATATCAATAGTTCAAAATTCGCGATGCGCGAAAGGAACATCGGGTTCCTAGATCTACGATTTCGGTCGGCTGTTTAACATTCGCCGTTAATGGCGTCACTTTTCGACATACCAGAAGTCCGAATTTTAGCCTACTTTTGTTTTGAACGGATCATCAACAGTGCCCAGATATAATTGTTTTCTTGAGTGACTTCCCCTTACCCGCTTCCCCAGAACTGCGGAAGCATCGGGGGAAAGAGAAAAACGAAAGTAGTCATTGCCGTCACCCTCCGGTTATGCACAAGAATCTTGCGTTGAATGTGACGTACTGGACTGTTTTGCGTGTTTTTAGGCTACCCTATTGATATTTTAGTGAAATTGCGGGGTTTACGTTGGATTCCTGGAACAAGAGTGTGATGTGTGAACAAACTTTGAGAGATGGATCATTTCTGTGGTTATAAATTTAGCTTTTGTGCTTAATGATGACGTTTGGGGTGTCGTCATGCAGCCGTACAAGACTGACTGACATACTAGAAATTACATTGTCCTAAGAGCAAACATTTTTAAAGTCATGTGTGCTCTTTTTATTCAAACAAATAGACAAACATGTCCTTGTTTATCTGTCTAACTCAAAAGTACACATTTGTTATTTGTTGGCGTGAATGCCTTTTTCCAATACATTGTGTCAATGTGTCATCATTGTTATGTGTACAAGTAATATTTTTTCATAATTGCTAATATATTGCTATATAAGTTTTCAAAATATATTTCATGCATGCAAGATTCATTTAGAAACAAAATACGCCTTTATTGATCTATGTATCTCATGTGCAAATTTGTTCTTTATTTATAGGCATGATTTTACCTTTTCCCAGTATGTTTTGTCATCACTGTTATGTACGAGTACTGTTTGTCATAATTAGCAACGTAATTGTGATTGTCTACTGTCTTTGATGACCTGATATCTGTTTCAAAGCAAAAGAAACCACTCCTGGGGTTTTTTTTAATTCTTAAAGTGTGCATTTCTCTCTGGATGCATGACTTTGTCTTTTCCTGTACATTGTGTCATCATGTTTGTCATCACTGTTATAGCACAAGTCAGCCCCATTGATTTTGTGCTTTTGCCTCATATTAGTTAAAAAATTGTTTTACACATGTGTTTTTCTGGTGCTGAGGCTTTGATAACTGTATTTATACAGCCTTTCACGATTGTGATGTGTTGTCAATGATAATGTCCAATGTGTATCCTTTCTTGTACATAACAGTGATGACATGTTCTATGCACTGCGTCATTTTTACAATGCCTGTCATTCATATTACCATTATGAATGGAGTTCATAGTGTACAAAGTGTTTGTTTACTAAACAAATGGAATTTAAAGTCTATAATTTGCCTTGCTGCTTATCTGTTTTTGTCATCACTGTTACATACAAGAAATACAGTGGTTGCCAAACCAATAGACCCATATCTCCAAAACCCTACATCTCCTTGCTCTGATACTCTAGGAATATGAGTTCTAAATGTCAATCTGAGACTGACAGAAAAGGGAGTCAAATTGGTAAGAAAAAAATTTTGGAACCACTGAGTCTCAAGAGAGTCTCACGTTTTGGCAATTGCTCAACTATGATTGAAGGAAGAGGCTAGCTGTACTTAATGACTTAAGTACGGCTAGACAGCTGGGCTAGCCGTACTTATTCTTAATATGATGGCTACACTGACCATAAAAAAATAAGCCTACTAAATTGTAAATATAAATTTTTTGTTTGCAGTACCTAAAGTATTTGTATTAGAGACAAAACCAGGTGCCTTTTTAAAATGACAGTGCATGTATTATAAACCTCCTGTTTTCTAATGTTAATAGGGCCTAAGATAAGTACAGCTAGACTGGCAGTCTAGCCGTATTTAAATACGGCTAGACTTCTTGGCTAGCCGTACTTAAGTACGGGTAGACAGCCAGGCTAGCCGTACTTAGGGATGGCAAGACTGTCAGGCTAGCCGTACTTAATATTGATGGCTGAATTGTAAATGAAATTTTTAGTTTGCAATGCCTAAAGTATTTGTATTTCAGACAAAACCAAAAGGTGCCTTACTGACTTGCATGTATTTGAACCTGAATAATTACTAAATCTAGATCTAATGAGACCTGTGTACTTAACAGGTTTGAGTCGATAGGGCCAAACCTAGATCTAAGTACGGCTAGACTGGCAGTCTAGCCATACTTAAGTACGGCTAGCCACTTCGATGATTGAATACATACGATTTTAATTAACATAAGGTTTCATTGTAACAACAAGAAATATATCAGTAATATTGACTAGAATTAGAGTTGTGTCCATTTGGACAGGGGAAGGGTGGTGGTGGGTGGGCCTATAGAAAATAGAACAAAGTTGACAAGCCAAAAGGGTCAATTCCGACTGTAATACACAAAGAAAATCAGACCCTGCCACTCTATGAAATCTAAAAGTCAGGATCTCAGTGGAGGGAAAAAATCGGGATTTCGTGAGAAAATAAATCGGGATCAACGACAAATCGTGTTTTATCTTTCTTTTTTTTATATCCTGAAATATCACGTCAAGCTCTCCTAGTCCAAGTGTTTTACCCTCCCCCCCGGATAAGTCCCAAAAGACGCTTCAACCGGTGTGCATGAACTTAAATTGACCCCATCAACGACGGTCCCCGACACACGCGGAACTCACACTCCGAAGTCAAGTCACGTGATGCGAATGCACTATTGAAACAGTTTTACTGACGGGTCT